CGCTGGGGAGCGTCTCTGTCACCGCCCCGGGCAGAGCCAGTCCCAGTTGTTCCGGGCTGGTGCCGGGCCTGTCCAGCGCCGTTCGGTTTGCTCCCAGCAGGGTCGTGTTGCAAAAGCTGCGTCCGGGCCGCTCGGCCCCGCGCGCTTTCACCGTTCTCCTGTGCGCCATTCGGTCACGGATGGGTGCGGGTCCGGCTCCGCCTCATGCCGACGAGGTAGTTTCAAAGAAAAATAACAATTTTTAAAAAAAACATAGCACACCATTAAAATTATTTATTACTTTTTTAGAGAGACCAGTAAACCCAAGTTGTTAGTTTCAAAAACATGCTTTAAAAAGCTGAACCAGCATTGTTCGATCTACTAATGCAAAACAGTGGGAGTAATGGCCTTAAAACGCATAAAGGAAAAGGATGCAGAAGTTCTGAGTCACGTGTTGGGCAGGTATGAAGGATTCACTCACGTTAGAACATGGACTCGGTATTTCCGTGCAGGTGTCAGTTGTTTCCTGCAGGCCTGCAATGGTATTCCCCACGCAACTGTACGATGCAGTGTCCACCATGCTTATACATTGGTAAATAAAAAGTAATCCGAGAAAGAAACGGTAACAAGCAATATACAGTGTGTGTGTTCCAATAGAGCCACATGCGAGTGATGGGAATCTCTGGGGTCTCTCATTTCAGCTGACTTACACTTCCCACTTCATTGCTATGTTATAAACCATTCACATGATTTCAACGTTAAAAATCTTTTGTTTCTTTGAGAAACCAAATAAAATCTCTTGCCCAGAACACCCTAAGCATTGAGAGTGTCTGCGTATGTTTTACATTACCTTGAAATAAGCTTGTTCTAAAATTTCACTCAATGCATAAGTGATCTATCAGTAATTAAAATATTTTTAATTTTATGAAGGGAAAATAGGTATTTGGCCTTGTAGACTGGGTCACTCCCATTTTTCTATTAGGGTTAATTTGTCTAAATATTACAAATGACATTAGGCACTGCTGGCTGCAGTTTTCAAGAATAGTTTATGAATACTAGGGTTGGCTGTGTTGATAACTAGAGGCACGTTATGAGGTAGCAGTGCACTACAAGAAGGAGCAATTAGCATGGTCACCAGTCCAGAAAATTGCAGTGGCTGTACTAAGGCCACCATCTAAGGGAATACCTGTGCAAAAAATGAAACACACTTATCTATGGTTATTTTCTGCAGGGCGCAAAACATACTAATGACTTTCTTGGCAAGGTCCTTGGCCCTGCTAATAGTGGGGGCTGGCTGTGACAGAGCTGCTATTGAACTAGCTTGAAGCACCTTCAGAGGAAAATGAAGCTCTTGTGACCCTATGGATGGTCCATGTGCTCACCACATTTTAGCACTGGAATTATAAATGCTAGAGCCCAAAATTCAAGGACAAATTTCCACTAACAGCCGGGGTAAATATGTGATTTGTCTGTTGCTGAGGCAGACCAGATGTGTTGGGCACATCCAGGGAAAGGCCAAGCAGTGCTTTACTAACAGAGTTCCTGGGTAACGGCGCGTTCTCTGTCCTCTTCCACATGCCCTCTCATTTGTCCTTGTCTCTTGTAGACTTAGGTTTTATACTCGCTCGCAGAACTAAGCCAATTTCAATGATTTTAATCTCTCTTTGTGCAGTGGTCAGGGAAGCAGATAAAAGATGGAGAATGCCAATGTAATAACCTACACAGTCATCTCTCCTGTGCACATCTCGTAGGAGTCTGGCAAAACTGACTGAAATATTGGGAGAATGTTTCCCTCTCAGAACTATTGAAAAGCAGATACAATTTCTGTCTACCAACCAAGTTTGTAAGCACTAGCTAAAACGTTTCTCACCATCTTAAAATACAACAAACTTTACAGCATGCTTCCACAAAGAATCTTCTTTTTCTCTCAGAAATGCAAGTCGTTTGCTGATTCCTAAGCTAAAAGTTTTGAAAAAAAAATAAATATAAGATTCTTTTGTTTGTTTGGTTGGTGGTGTTTGGGTTTTTTTTTTTTAAGATTGAGTTATATCATTTTCAGAAACCAAATGCTGCTGTGAGACGCACCGCTGTGCCCCCCTGGTTTCAGCAGGGTTGTTTCCTTGTGCCGGAGAACAATTTGATAAAGATCTCGCTGTGGTCTCTCATTTTCTTCCTTGTGATGGAGGAACAGAACCATAACATTAGTCAGCAGTTTCTGAGTTTTGACCCACAATAGCAAAGATACCAAAAGACAGGAGAAATAGATGGAGGCAATTACAAACAGTCACTTGATGGATGGTTGACATTGTTAGAGCTTCAGCTGTGTGTCAGGTTGCGGTGGTGCTGGAGCCCCATCCCTGCTGGTGGGTGTTGCCATGGGCAACAGCGCACTGAAGCCAATAAAAAGGAGCGGAAATGAGGGGAGACTCAACCTTGAGGGAAGCTCTAGGGTATGCGCTATAAATTATGTTATACGTAGCAATATGCAATAACAAAATTCAAGAAAGCTCTGTGTACCTGCCAGCAGTACTATGTCAGTTGCTCGTATCTGTTTCTCCCATAAACTACATGTTTTGTATGGCTTGCTGTTTCCTGCGTGCTTCATTTGTCTTTAATCAGGGAAGAAAGAAGTGGTAAAATAATAGCAGAAACGTTTCCATTTGGCACATGTATCCACTGCTGTGCAGTCTGCATTTCTGCTCCCTCCCTGCTTCTTTCTGCTAGAGAAAGCAATGCGGTTCAGTTGCGTACTAACAGACTGGCTGCAACGGCACTGAAATTTCCAGCTATTCTCCTATACACAATTAGTAGTAGAGAGGGATTTTGGTGGTTTTTGTTTTTGTTTTTAAAGAAGTGGTCAGCAGGTTTGTTGTTTCTGCTTGATTGTCAGACAGATTAGTCAGCATTTCAAAGGCGCTAACAATTCACTTTGCTTAGAAAGGAGGAAAGCTCTTTTTAGCATCTGGTCAGCTGGGCCAGGTTCTGATTCCCATTAAGCGGGTGCCAATTCAAGGTAATTCCACTGAAGTAAGTGGAATTTGGCACAGGTGTATCAGTAAGCTGAATTCAGCTTTAATTTCTGCTGCCAGACAGCCCTATATTTAGAATCCCATTTTTCATGGAGCACAAAGGCTTTTTTTCTTCCCCTGTGAATGGGAACTCGTAAGCACTGCAACATGACTCCTCTTGTGTCCAGTCATGCAGCAGAGAAAGCACCCTCTAATCATAGGTAGCAGTTTTGCTACACTAGTGATCTCTGCACTAATGGAAAGAGACAAATTTTCAGGTAATACTAGCATCACCACACAGAACTGGACACATTTGGTTTGGTGACCTATCACGTTTGATTAGATTTTTATGATCACCTCTACCGCAGACGTCTACATGTGAGCCCTGACTAGTGCTGTTTAAGCTATAATAGCTTCTCAAATTGTATGGAAAGAAATGCAAGAGAAGTAAGAGGTAGTCAGTCCAGTATGATGACGTTCTTCCTCTCCACCATTTAAAAACATTTTCAAGTGGCAATTATACTAGAAAGGCTTATCTGTGGTTCGCTTTTCAATGTAATATAAACCGGAAGCACCAGGCAACAGATTTCCTTTTTTATTTGTATTCTGTTTTCATTAAAGCCTATTAATCTTTTCCGTAGGGAATTTAAAAAAAACCGAATGTGTTAAAAGAGCATTTTAAAAGAAAAAAAACACAAACCCCTAAAATTACCATGCAGCATTTTGCCTTTATGCAAACTTGCCCCTGCTCAGAAATTTACTGCATTGTTAATATGAATTTCTCAGGGAAGCAGGGACAGGTTGGTGTTTTTAAAGATAATAAAGTTTGTTTGTAAATGTAGCAAAGGTAGGCAATTCTAAAGGCCCTGATCAATCACTAAGAAGCTCTGTTGTAAAAAAATACTTCTTTAGAATACAAAGCAGGCTTTTTAGAACATTCAGGCATAAAAGAAGAAGAGAGGAACATCACAAAAGCAGGCATAATTGAATCATAACATGTACTGAAGAGATGCAAAACAACAATGTAATTACATACTATTCTGTTTTCTGCAGCTCCTTGCATATGAATTGACCAACTTGCACTTCAGTTCTGCTCTGTATTATTAATTTTATTAAGCTGTAAGTTCTTGTATTTCAGTCTGTTGTCAGCTTTACAGATTTTTACAGCAGCAGTTGAAATGTAGAGGAGCTGAATGAATGCTTCTTGTGCTAAGTCTTCCATGTCGCTCCAGATACCAGCGCAAATGTCACCGCAGGCTTTCCTTTCAGTCCCGCTAAGCCTCCTGGTAAAAGCAAACTATGCCGCCATCAAGATAATATCCAATCAATTAAGCATGTCTGTGAAAGCACTTCTTAAAAAAAAATGGTGCGCCTAAGCTGATGAAAACCTTTCAGACAGCTCTTATCGTAAAGCGACACTGACATTTGCAGGCTTAATTTATGTCTTTGAGAGACACGGTAAAGCTAGAGGACAAGGAGGATGAGGATGCCACCTGAGAAGGAAGTCTTTTTTGGTGCAGCTCCTCCCATTTACCTCTGTTTACAGCAACAGAGTCCAGCATAGGCTTCAGTTTCACATTCAGCTTCACCAGACACTGGAAGAAGATTAAAAAGAAAAAGAAAAAGAGAGAAAAAATATTGACAGTATTTCCGCTCCTTTGATGGGCAGTCCAGGGAGTAATGGGGTAAAAAGAGTTTAATCTGCACCGTGCCCCTACCCCCCTCATCCCCAGCAGTAAGTTCCTGTGTAGGTAAAGCTTATTGTTCCTACTGAGATCTCTTTATCTTATGCTTTTTTTACCTGAGGCTTTAAGTAAGCCACTCAAAATATCAAAAAAGCACAAGGTGGCAGAGTTGCTGCTCAACTACTTTAGCTTTCTTGTAATCCTTAAGAGAGTCCTTTTGAGGCATCCCCCGAGTGCCTGGGGTTATCTGACTGCTGGCATCTATGAGCAGGATGTCCATGAGTTGCATGACAAGTTGGACAAAGCTGAAATAACCTTCAGATTCTCCCTAGTGCTCAGGTTTTATTTTTTCTAGATGAGTAATCTACAACAGTACTGTGCTTTCTATAGCTGGCAAAAACGCCGTTTCTGAGTGCTCAAAATAAATGAGTTTTATTTTTAGATTGCACTGAAATCACCCCTTTTCTGCATACCCAGTCCAAAGCCACAGAAGCCAATGAGAATGTTTTATCTGGTTTCATCTGGCTTTGAATCAGCCCCAAAGTCGTATATTTCCTGCACACCTTTGCTAGAAGTTTATTTTGCCTTTCCCTTTAGTATCAAATGCTTATGTGGAATGAGCACAAGTGCTTCCACTTGTTTTTGTCCCTACATTGGAGACAGAACGTCATTTACAGCAGCACCCAGATGTTAAGAAAGAGTTAACCAGTTACCCTCCAGGCCTTCAGGTAATGTGCCCTTTCAGGACAGAGGAGTATGCAGCTTTTTTGATCAGCAAGTAGTGGGTTTTGCTGAGAGCTGGGTATCATGCTTTCTGTGACAGCATGCCAACTATGTCCTTTGAAATAAAGGGTTGGTGCAAGATTAAAAAATATAACGACAGAGAAGACAGCACAAGTTGCTCTTCTGAAAGTGCAGAAATTATAAGGAAAAGAAAGAAGAGGGGAAGCAGGGACCTTTGCTGTTGATCATTTTCATTATTTGCTTTAAATAGCAGAGTTAAGAGCAACCACTTTAAATGGTCCCCAGAGCCCAGACACCACTACGGAACTGGATTTTTTTTATAGCTAGTCTGCAAGCCATGGGAGCTTGGTTAGGTACTGAAGTAAGTCTTCGTAGATTTTTTAATTGAGCTATTATATGATAATTAAGGGTTAATGGCCTGATTTTAAGATGTGCTGAAAACTTGCAGTTTCAGTTGACTTCAGTAGGAAATATGAATGCTCAGCACTTCTGAAAAATCACGCCATGAGTAAGAACCTGATTTGTGCAGAACTCAAAGCAAATCCACTTGAAGTTATGTGCTTAGAATGTAGCACAGACTGGGAAGATAATTTTGCAACATTGGGCCCATCAAATGAATGTACTATATATACAGCACTGCGCACTGGTGATGGTCATTTGTTTGATGGACTGGATGTGGATTTGTAGTATTCCTATCACTGTACCTCAGAGCTTGACATTTTTAGCTCTTTATTTCAGACCATTGTGCGTTCCTCAGACCTGATTTGGCATAGTCCACAACAGGGGGGCAGTAATACATTATAAACACCTGAAAATACCTGAAAAACTCACTGCTGTTATCATTAACACCTGCATTGCCACTGCCAACTCAGAGTCCAGAAGTAGCACATTAGATACTCAACTCTTGACAGCAACTTATCAGATCCTTTCTGTGCAAAGCCTGTATCCGTCTGCTGGCACTTAAGCTTCTTGTTGTTTCTTAAATCTTGAAAACGTATTTGTGAAGCATTTTTCCAATATACACTCCAGATTTTTAAAAAAAAAAAGTTTTTAAATCAGTGTTTAAAAATCAGTGTATTTCAGATGTCTCTAAGCACAAAGATATCATTCTGCACTCACACCACGTCAGCCCCAGGATCTGTAAACATGAAATGCAGTCCAGGCTGTTCCCATCACAAACGCTGTAGCTGCGCCTGCTGCAGGCAAGGCAGAGGAGAAGGAGCTCAGTGGGACAGTGGACTCCGTCTCAGTGTGTCTGTGCAGCTTCTGCCTTTGTCTGCGTCTGTTCTGTACTTTTTTTCGTTGTAAGACTGACCACAAGACCATGGTAATTTTCAATCCTAGTGCCAGGAAGCAAATGCAGAGATCTAGGCAGGACCTCCTGGTGTGCCTGTCCCTCCAGGGGCAGGGACATGCCACGCTCTTACAGTAGGAGACAGCCCTCTCCCGAACAGTGCCAGGAGGATGGTGACTGCCTGAGCTGCTTAGATCAATTAGCTTTGCACCAACTACAGCAGAGACCAGAAACCCCAGTGGATTGGAAATGGATGCAAGACGCACCCACACAATTCTGTGGTAATTACTGTGTCTTACGAGCTGGAAACACATTTTAAATCCAAAAGTAAATACATATATTTCTTAGAAATATATACCTAAGTGCATATTACAGAGTCTATTAACCTGGGTGCAACAGAGATTACCGGGTAAATAACAAGAATGGTTAACTAATAACAGTAAGTTTGGTGAAATAAATTAAAAGGAGTGTTTAAGAAAGAATAAACCATGTCTTTGATATTTATTTTTACCATAGCACAAGCAGTTAATTCTACAAAATACTTACAAAACATATAGTGTAATTTTAAGAAACTTTATTTAGATTAGGGATGCTTGACAGTGCAGATTTTGCGCTTGGTCTATAAAATGTCTTTATTCAGACACTGATTTGGTGTTTAAACCGCTGCTTCTGTATTTAGTGTCCTTTCACTTTGGAACTCTTTCACTCTGGTCTAGTCTTTTAATTAAACCAACTACTATAATTCCTGTGGAAATTAGCTTTTATTTTATTTTTTTCCAGCTACCGAAGCATTTCAGTAGGACTTTTCTGATACAAAGTACACAAATTGGATTTTATTTCTGCTTGAGATGTAATTAAAAACTCATTTGATTACTATATATCTGGCCCTGTTTTAATTATTAAACTCTAGTAATCAATTTTCTTTTATGAAGCTTCTGGGAAATTATCTCAAAAGCAACACATTTCTCTCCCTTCTGGCAGGCTCTCGACCATTCACTGAATTACATTCATAGCACCTGTTCCTGATCTGGATTAAACCACCAATTTATTCCCAAAGCTATTTAAGTTTATTTGGCTGTAGCCTAGTCAGGCTTTTCTACCTCCTGGCTGCACGTTCTACTTTGCATTTTATTGCACGAGAACCCCTTGATGTACAGCTCCTCCATGCCACCACTTTCGATGCACGCCTCTTAGGAACAGCTTTGCTAGGGATCTGTCTAATTTGGTATCCAGCTTCTCAACGCCCAAATTATTATTTGCTTTAGGAGAAGGAGGCTTGGTCTCCAGCAGCTGTCTGACACGGGACACCACCACGTAAACTCTTGTCCCTTCGTGGTGCGGCAGGCAGCTGTGAGCCGGCCGGGAGGCTGAGGGAAGCCCTGCCTGGGAAGTTCTTGTCCCTCTGCCTGGTGCCTCGGTGCCCACATGCAGTCCTGCCACGCGGCAATAGGTACAGGACTGGTGTCCCTTCCCACTTTAGCGCCTTCACTGTAAAAGCTGTTCCTAACAGTGGAGTGACAGAGCGCGTTGGAAGGGCAGGTGTGCTGGCAGCTGTGAGCTCCAGCGTTTGGGAAAGCCAGCGAGGTTTGCAGGTCGCTTCTGCATCCATGTATCACCTCAGCTGCATGACTGAGCTGTTTCTCCGGAAGTTATTGTACAGCACTGAGTTTTCCTTAACACCTTCACTTATTTGGGTGTCTTTTGTGACTGTGCAACTGCTTTGCCCAAGGCATCCTTCCACAAGGTATAGCTCCTCTTATGTATTAGCTCCTCCAGTACAAGAAAAGGTTAAAGGCACTTCAGCGGTTATTGTGTGCACCTGGGAGAGGGGCAGGGTTCTCTGAAGGAAGAGCTTAAAAGGGGGAGTGTGAGATACTCAGATGAAGCTATTTATGGGAAAAGGTAAGGAGGGGGAGTGGGGTTTTTTTATGTGATTTAGAGATGTACTTCTTGGGTATATTTTGCTAGATAAAACATAGAGAATGCAGAAATAGCAGGTGTAGCATCAAGCCCCTTCAGGGCGTAGTAGTGGAGGCATTTGTTGTTAGACTTACTGCCTGGGTTGAAAGATGGGGTTGGGGAGGGGCCCTTACCTGCTACATCACCTTCATCTCTGGGAAAGGGTGTTAGCTGAGACAGCGCCAGAGTCGAGACTATTGCTAAAGTAAGTACAGCATTTTACTATATTCTAAGCCTAATACCAAATTGTTTTAAAGAGAAGCATGACATGCCCTAACTTACAAACACTGCAGGACCTCCAGAGTATATACTTTTCCTCCCCACCCCTGGAGATTCTCGTCCAAATATTGACCAATTGTGACCTTGCTTAACTTATGAGCTTTGACAAGATTATGGCTCACGGAAGTATGGTTGCGGGTCTAATATTTGTAAAGTGAGTTTATGGAATAAGACCATATAAATTCATTTTTATGACTGAGCACATATCAAAAAGTTATAGGTCTCAGTGTTAGCTCTACTTTGGACCTCAGTGGTTTCTAATGAATCACTTTTATTATGTAAGCAGTTTCCAAGTTAGAAGAGAGGACCAGTGACCGAGAAGCCATAGGGATAAATTCAGACATGGTGTAAGCATATGAAGCATTGCTGAAGTCAAGAGAGTTGTGACCAGTTACAGCAAAGCTGAATTGGACACCTGAGTTTTGCTGAAGTGGCTTCTGCGTGAGAATACATAGGCCAAAGGTGAGCCATTTATCTGAAAGTCCTTGAACTTCTGAGTAGTTCAGATAAAAGAGAAACTGTACTGCAGTCATCTACAGATTTGGTCTTTATAATGCAAATACTTGATGGAAGTTGTTTTGAAAACACAAAAGTATTTCTACACAGATGCCCATGTACTAAAACCAAAAAGTCT